TAGAATAGAATAGAATAGAATAGAATCTTTATTTGCATAAAATGTAGGTACATAATGGTGATAATAATAACATAGTCAAGGTGCCATATACATCTTGCCGCTTGGCGACATGCAAATCTTTATACAGTTCAAATACTTATCACAGAAATAGAACATTTAACAATTTATCTAAATTATAAGTTTACAGTCTATACCTCACAGATCGCTCACAATTGTAGAATTTACATGGGTTTTTTGCTAGAAATTCGTCAACTGAGTAAAAACATTGCTGACATAACCATTTTCTTAGCATTACACTAAATTTATTTGAAGGTAGTCCGGAGATAGTTTTTGGTAAAGAGTTATATATTAAGGGACCCATGTAAATACAGCTTCGTCTAAATAACTCTAATCTAGGAACAGGTAACTGAAATTCTAGATGAGTAGCTTTTCTTTTATTTACATTATTGTTAGACACAAAAAATTGAGGATTATTTTTCACAAATTTAGAAATCTCGTAAATATAAATACAGGGAACCGTTAAGAGGCTATTTGATTGGAATGCGGGTCTACATGAATCACACCAGTCAACATTAAACATTGCACGAACACACTTCTTCTGGACAATGAACACTCGTGATATATCCGAAGAGTTTCCCCATACAATGATACCGTAGCGGATAACTGAGCAAACGTATGCATGGTATACCATTAAGGCAGTTTGCATGGATGTTATACATGTAATTTTTCTCAAAGCAAAGACAAATTTATTGATTTTTACACATACATTTGCAATATGAGTTTTCCAAGTAATATTTTCATCTACTGTTATACCCAGGAATTTAGAGCAATGTATTTGTTCTATAACATTATTATTATATGATACATCAATTTGTACGGGCTTACTTTTCCATGTTTTAAAATAGATTACATTAGTTTTAGGGATGTTTATTTTTAACTTATTAGTATCTAGCCATTTCATAATTTCACCTAATGCTTTGTTGACCTGAATACTCAAATTTTGGGGTTCATTACTCTTTATGATAATAGTAGTATCGTCAGCAAAGAGAACACACTGATGACTTATTGACTGTGGTAGGTCATTAATGTACACAAGAAATAGTAGCGGCCCCAGGATACTACCTTGAGGCACGCCACAGCCATTAGTAAGCGGAACAGAATCAAAATCTTCAATAGTATTTGTTACTTTACTAAGTTTAGCTACCCTTGTAGATATTTTTTTATGGAATAGGAGGCAAACGAGCAGACGGATCACCTGGTAAGCGATCCGCGCCGTCACGGACACGCGCAACACCAGAGGAGTCACAGGTGCGTTGCCGGCCTTTTAAAAAGGAGTACGGCAAAGAGTATAATAAGTATAGGGGTTGAATACGCTCTTTTCTTGAAGGTTTGAAGGTCGTATCGGTTCGGAAATACCGCCGACGACAGATATTTGACATAACATAATCGAACCCGAGACCCGGGTACCTTAGTCACATTTGCGACCACTCGGCCAACGAAGCAGTCAGTAACTAAAGCAAGGAATAAAAATAATAATATCAAACTTACCTCGTTCGATTCTTCGATGTTTTTATTTTTCTCGTCCTCAGCTTCGAAGGTTCTTCAGCCACAATTTCCTCATTACCATCGTCCATATTCATATCAAAGGAATCATCATTTGTTTCACTTTCATCCGCCATTTTGGAATTATTATCAAAAACAGGTACATTGAATTGATTACCAACAACCGTAGGAGCCTTTACTAGTATAATGTTATCCCAGTTTACTTTAGGAGCTTCACTGTGAAAGCTATCTTGACTATTGTTAGGCATTATATCTATTTCAGATTTCGTATCATCATCAATACTTTGATTTTCTACATCTATTTCATCTATTTGTGAATTATCATCTAAATCTTCTTCAAAAGTAGATCCTGCAGTTCCTGTATTAACTAGTGTATCTGATTTTGTGTAACTGTGTGTTTCAGTTGCACAGTTAAAAGTTTCTATTGAATCTATGATTAAACTTGATTCTAAGTTATGTTCTCGATGCAGATTAGATATTTCAGTTATGTTTAGCTAAAAGATAATTAACATTATTTTTAATACTCTCAAGACGTATTTTTTTGCACCTGTCTGTCTCTAAAAAAACATTAGCTATAAATTAAATTAAATAGGATAGATATTGTAACATTACTTCGACTGCGAGCTGGACATTATCCCACAAAAAGTTTCGCATTTCTAATGAAAAAAGTAGATTCACCTAACTGTGAAGTATGTGGCAAGTTAGATGATATTTATCATATGCTGGTGGAGTGTGTTAAATTTAAGGTGGCGAGGGACTCACTAATGCGACATTATAATATAAAAAAATATGATTTGGGATCTTTTTCTAGTATTTTGTCAGAACCTTTAAGCAATACAGCACGATCTATTGTAAGGATGTTGATGGACAGTGATGACCCGCTCTGGTAGTTGACATTTCTAATGAATTTTTAGTTAATTTAAAATGTTTTAGATAAGATTGGGCTACGATGGGGCTGACTTAGCCGATTGGTTAAAAGCCCCTAAAATAAAATAGATAATAAAAAAAGCTATAATTGGGATCATGACAAGGTATGAAAAATAAAATGTAATTAGTCCGTCAGTAAGGTAATGAAAAAATATTAGACACGTACTTTTTATTTTGTCGTATAATAAAACAATACTTAGATAAAACGAATCAAAGTTTACGAGTGGGGGATAAAACGTCATTTCTACGTATAAAATGTACATAGAAGTGACGTCACGCGACATTTCAAATCAATATATCGTCGAAAGTATTCGTTTCTGTAAGAAAACAAAAAATACGTGTATAATGATTTAAAATAATCTACCAGTCGGACATGAAAATAAAAATTAGACATCTACCCTATTATATACGAACCGTTTCATGAGAATCCAAATATTCCCGCATCAGTTGATCGCTGGTCAGCGCTTTATATTTTAACACCGACGCTGAATGCAGCCGCGCTTTACATTCCCAACATATGTTCATTGGAAACCTATCCTTGGAGTCCGTTCGCGGCTGGGGACGAGGAAAAGTGAATTAATTTACACTTCGGTCCTATAATTTGTGTGAATAAAAATCAACATCGACAACCAGAGACGGATTAAACCCAGAGGGCTCTAGACAAGCACCTCATAGGCGCCTCTAATTATTTTGGTCACGCGTCGTCACGTCTCGCGGCCCCCCTTTATAACCTGGCGCCCTAGGCACTTGTCTAGTTTGCCTTAGGGATAGTACGGCTCTGGCCTGCATTAACAGTATTGGTACATAACATTTTTCAGCTATAAGAAATGAGGATGCTTTGAAGCCTCGACACAGGCGTAAGGTTGCAATCATTTCGGTTTTCTACCCGATACATTTCGGTGAGTGTGCGGGGGAATTGCACAATTTGATTCCCCCTAGACCTTTCCATCACTATCACGATACAATCGGCAGAGCGTCACCCAGATGCGATGCTACTCAGATGATCACGTAGATGTCCCACCCTCACGCACGATGCGCTTCGCATCAAGCTTCCTTGTGCGTACTGCTAAGGAGTGGAATTCTTTGCCAGAGTCTGTTTTTCCTGAAGGGTGTCTTTAAGGCCCGAGTGAATAGGTTGCTTATGGGACGACGTGCTCCATCGTAGACCGCATCATCGTTTACCACCAGGCGAGATAGTGGTCACACGTCGGCCCGTCAAATACATAACATAAAACAAAATGACTTAAGAAGCATCTCACCACAATTCCAATTATATATTGATACAACATGTTTAAAGTCTCGTCATTAAGATCATACATTTTCGCATCTACTCTGAGACATAGCTTGCACACCTATAAAAAAGAATATAACTCAATTAGGTAATAGGCGTGTCGACAGGGTAAAAAAATCAAAAAAGTAATTAGTCCGTCATTAAGATCGCACGAAAATATCAGACACGTATTTTTTGATTAATCAAATTAACAGAAGAATACGTAGTTATTCCGCGTTAAAGTTAGGGAGTGGGGGGTGTTGACGTCACACTTACGGAGAAATCGTACCTAATTGTGACGTCACGCGTCATTTTAACTCAAAATATCTACATGTTTTTTTGGATACGAGAAAAAAGAAAAAATACGTATCGAAGATTTTTAAAATATCTAAAAGACGGACAAAAAATTAAAAAATAGTCGCCATGCCTATTATAATGTTTTCGGTTTTCTCACGTAACTGTTTGGTGAGGAACTCGACTAGTTTCAAGCCATGTTAAAGGCTCATATTCATGAGCCGCATTCCGCGGCACACGACCCGGCCACTGTCGCGCTGCTATTGGTCGTGACCAGCTAGTTGCTGTTCATTCTTGTTTCTTTATTGTTTCGTCTTTATTTTTGCTTACGTTATCCTGAGGCCTTAGTACGAGTTTCTTTACGTTTAAAGTAATCGTAACGAGTAGGTACCTACGCGTTCGGCGCTGTGATTGGCCGATGCCAATGAACCACCAATCACAGCGCCGAACGCGTTCTCGTTTCGATTAATTTTAACGTAAAACAAACTCGTACTAAGGTCTCTGAATAGTGCTCCATTATTATAGAATCATAAATTCCAAGCCAATTGCTTTAGTTTGAAAAATAATATCATTTTTATTAAAATCAAGTGTTTTTAATTAGATAATCACCTCACTTTAAGTGACTGTACTGAAAAAAAAATGTACTGAGCTAATAGTTGCAAATTTCACCAACGTTGGCGCATTTAAATAAGGATTCTAAAATGGTTTACCACTTCCTAGATTATATTCATTCCTTCCTTATATTCAACACAAAAAATAGTTTTCTACGACACTTCGTTTCGAAAGATTTATTTCGACTTACTTAAATTTATTCTGGTGTATCCAAAACACATCTAAAAACCTAGTATCCACTAAGGCAGGGATTCTCAAACTTTTGGTACCACGTACCCCTGTTAAAATTTTCAGGTGACAGCGTACCCCTAACTAATTAATTACTCCAAAGAAAATAGTAAAATTGACTAATGGAGAAAATAAGGTTTTTATTTTAAATAAAAGGTAACAAACGTAGTGCCAAAAGAAATGTCTTTTTAATATTAATGTGATGGATGTGCTTGTTTCTTGTCGCAAAGGGATTCAATTTTAGGTGTAATTTTTGTCAATTTTAACATTACGTAAATCTTGTCGCGTACCCTTTGCCCTCGAATGGCGTACCCCTCTATGAGAAACCCTGCACTAAGGTAACAATTTGCACGCTACATGACACCATCATGTTGCTAAAAATGTTAGAAATTGCATATTCGCAATCCCGGTTTCCGCAATTCCCGTTTATCCGAAGTAGCGAGCGCGAGCAGAAGTTAGCAATTGGGTAGTTTCCAGGGTATCAAAATTAAAAATCTAATTAGTCCGTCAGCTAGATAATGAAAAAATATTAGACACGTATTTTTTTATTTTCTCGTATTAAGTTGCAATACTTAGATAAAATGTCGCCAAGTTTAGGAGTGGGAGGTTGTTACGTTATAACGTGCTACAAAATGTAGCACGCTGTGACGTCACATGATATTTCAAATTAATATATCGTCGAAAGTATTTAATTTTGTGAGAAAAGAAAAAGGCGTGTCTAAAGTTTTAAAAAATCTACCAGACGGACATTAAAATAAAATTTAGGAAACTACCCTATTTATAAAAAAGAAAAACGGGGAACTTACCCGTGACTTGTCCACATCGTGCTCATTTTGATTTGTATCAGTTGCTTCTTCGAAATTTCTAGAATATTTTATTAACATTTCTTTAGACAACGGTATTAATCGTACTACTGGTACAGCACGCTGTTCATTTATATACCCTTTATGCAATGAATCTGATGCCTGAAAATAAGAATGATGACGGGGTATGAAAATTAAAAATCTATTTATGCCGGAATACTGAAACGGTACTCAATTTTAAGTCGTGCTTAAATATCGTGCCATCTCTGTCATTTTACTAAGAATTTGTAGTGACAGAACTATACTTAGGCGCGACTTAAAATTGAGTAGCGTTTGAATATTCCGACATTAGTCCGTCAGTAAGGTAACGAAAAAATTTTATTTTGTCATATTATGACAAAATATCTAATAATATGAGAAAACAATATATCTATATAAATAAAAATAAATTTCCATTCGTTAGTCTCGACCAAATTCGAGAACTGCTGAACCAGTTTCGCTAGTATTGGTCTTGAAATGTTCGTGGAGGTCCGGGGAAGGTTGAATTAAAGGGTAAGAAAAAATATTCAAATAAAATCAGGGGATATTTTAGTGTGGGAGCGCCATGCTTCGGCACTGCTGGGCCGGCTCGACCGGAGTGATACCACGGCCGAGCAGAAAACCATAGTGAAACAACGCTTGCGTTATATTTTGTCGTGTGAGTGAGGTTAACGGAGGCCCAATAACCCCAATAATTATTAGTAAATAGTCTAACAATCCTCAAATTCCAAATCCCCAAAAGGCCGGTAGCCCCGGTAATTGGGCATGTGGTAACCTCACTTACATGACGAAACACAACGCAAGCGTTATTTCACGTTGGTCTTCTGCTCGGCCGTGGTATCACTCCGGTCGAACCGGCCCATTCGTGCCGAAGCATCGCTCTCCCACACTTAAACGTAGATTATACCTCATCTGTAGAGATTTATACCTCATCCGATGATGATTCTTCATTAAAACCAGAAACTGCATCAGGTTTCAATTGATTTCTAAATTTATCGCAATCTGCTTCCTGCATATGATTACTGCGAACAGGGCGAACCCTTGCAGTGTCATCAAACTTCTTATTTAATGGAACTATGGACGATAACTCCCCTACGCCTTTACCTCCTGTTTCTGGTCCTATACACTGCTTATCGGATTTTACAGCCTAAAACAACATAAATTACATAAATGGGCAAAACTCATTATTTGGGACAGGGCTGTCCTCGCAGGCTAATTAAATTTCTTACACAAGGTGGAGGGCCACAAAAATATTTTCAGTTGTATAATGACGTTTAACCCATTAGAAGTCACTGTACTCATATGAGTACACCTAAAATTCTACGCATAAACTTAATATCTCTTATATTTTTGTAGAGTAACCCTATTATCTTAATTCATTATAAAATTGTCTAACTATATTGATAAATTATATGAGGGTAGTGCGATATTTTTTTCACATTATTTACGTTGCCCGCCAATCTACTTCAAAATCAAACCCTACGTGGCGGAAATGTGCAATCCTGCAAAATGGAGTTGGACACTATCCACTAAAAATTTAAAAGCAACTACGATGTGTCCTTTGTCATTCAAGAGTACCTACGTTGGCAATGTAAAAAGTGCTAAAACACTTTGTGTAGAAATATCGTGTTTTAAAAATTTTCATACTTAGGTGGTCAGTGTACCCAATTGAGTACACACCTAAATTATCATGAAAAATACTATTTTCCATTTTTTTTCTCGCATTTACTGTTCTTATACTCTCAGTTGATTACGAAAATAAACAAAATTAATAAAAAATATTGGTACTTTTTATTTGACCTTTAATGGGTTAATATTGTATTGGCCTGACTGCCTCATTGGCTAAGTGGTCGCAAGTGCATCTGCCGGGCAAGAGGTCTCGGGTTCGATTCCCGGGTCGGGCAAAGTATTACTCGGTTGTTAAAAATACTCAGTAGTAGCACGGAGTCTGGAATTGTGCCCGGTATATGGCAATAGGCTCACCCCCTATTACATGGGACTCATAACATAAATAATGTAAAGTGGGTGTTATATTGTACAGTGGCATTAAGTGCCGTAATGTGCACCTCAGTCTACCCCTTAGTGGCTAAAAGAAGTTATGTTATGTTACTTACTGAAAAAAGGGTAGGAATTGCGCCATCTTTAAGTCGAACACAGTTCATTGTTCTGTTCACACAATGATCTTCGAAATGCTTGGAGCATATTGCTATTCCTATTGCAGGTTTTATATTCTCATTGCCTATTTTTTCTATCCACAGTTTCTTAAGGCATTCATTTAGTGGGAATCTAAAATCAATATTAAACATTACTTACGTGCTAATTAAATATTGTTAATGTTTATGAAAACATAAATAAAAATATGGATGTCATTCGACCGGATACATTTCAGTAAGTGTGCGGAATTTCAGAACTACAGTACTACATTCCTCCTAGTCCCTTCCAACATCGTACCACAAGACAATCAGCGAAGCGTCACCGATTCTTGGTAGATATCAGTTTTGTGAAATCTAAGAGTTCTAGACCCTCAGATTCCACAATCCCTCTTACAGGCATGACCATACCACTCATTTAATCAAAACTTTATTCTAATGGAATTCCTAAAATATTCTGTTACTTTTAGGCATTCCATCAATTATTTCTTGGTTTTTTTTAGTGGGGGAAAATCATCGAATTGCTGCTCCCGCCTGGGTGAGGCGAGAGGGAGTGTCAGACTCTTACTGACTAAAAATTACGCTGTTCCTTCTTCTGTCCTTTGAGCCGAAGCCCCGGTAACCCGACAGGTTCTCCGCGACAATTGTTTCTTGTTTGGAGCCGACTTATTGTTATTATTTATATCGCTTAGCTTCTGCCAGCGGCTTCACCCACGTACCCATGAGGTAAAAAGTAGCCTATATGTTATTCCTAACTATAATCTACCCTGTTCCAAATTTCGCCGCGATCCCTTCAGTAGTTTTTGCGTTAAAGAATAACAAACAAACACATGTATATAAACATTCGCACAAACTTTCGCATTTATTTTAATTTTAGGACTTTATAAAATAAAGATCAACACAGTGAATGAAATGTAAACAAATAAAAATTTTACTAGTTCAATGTATGTGATGATAATCTTATGAAATGAGTGAAATGTACAAATACTAGCACAAAACCTGACTTAAAACTCATAATGAAAGTTACATCGTGATTCACATAAATAAGCATTATACATGAATAATAAATAAAACTAAGACTAACCTAAAGAATGACAATCCTTCCTCATTTTTATATGAATTTGAATTGCATCCCTTGATGCAGCACCTCCTCATGATAGTTTAGATCTAATTCACTCAAGAGTATAACAAGTACCTAGGGAAGTATAATAAGTATGGAATAAAAAACAAGAAAAAACTATTATAGTCGAAATAGTTCACTGAAACGAAACTGTAACACCAATAATATTTTCATTGATCAAACAAACTTGACTGATGGATATAAGAATACGAGGACGTGCCTTAAATACAACAAACAACGTAAGTACTTATAGAGAGAGATACCATACTACAATAAATCGAAAAGACAAAATACATTCTGATCTCTTATAATATGCGTCAATTGTCGTGATGTAGAAAGAGATAGATAGATTTTAGTACCTACTTGAAATGGCAACATTTTGAGTCTTTTGAACGTGAAACGTCAGATTCATTGGAAGTTATCAAAAATATTGAATTTACGGAGTGTTTTAAGAGATAAGAGTTCTTTTCTTTTATTTAGATAAGTTTGTCAAAAAAAAATGCCTATGTGTGGTGTTAAAGACTGTGTCACGAAATACATTTATTAGTCGTTAAGGACATTTTGCCCATAATCCGTTCATTTAAATAGATTTAGTAGTTTAGAACATGGAGATTTCCGAAAATTTAACACCGTTGTTTCCTTTCTTGGGGAATTTCCGGGACAAAAACTATCCCATATCCTGTCTTGGGTCTCAAACTATATCTGCGCCGAATTTCATTCAAATCGATTGAGTGGTTTGGGCGTAAAGAAGAAACAAAGAAAATGAGTTGATTTCATATTTAGTTTTAAGAAATCTATTCATAGGAACACAATTTAAATGTATTCGATTGAGTGATGCTAGTTTTGTCACTACACTATATAATGACTCCACATTAGACTCCCCAGTCTACGCCATGTTTATTTTCATTTTGGTATGCAAAGTACAAATACAGTTCATATCTTCTTAAATCCTTTCATCATTGAGATGATCTTCCAAAAACCAAAAGATGATTCCAAAAAGAATAATAAGTATAGGGGAATGTGTACCCCTATGATGGCGAATGTGGCCCAATATAATGGCAATGGTGACGTCATGAAAAATATTACTGGAAATTGAAGTATAAAATTTATTCTACATGCTAATCTATTTTTACATGAGAAATATAATATTTTATAACGTATAAAATTGAGACTGGTATATTTTTAATTACGAGATTCATTATATTTGAATAATCAACTCTATTTTTATAATATCAATGGTATCTGAGCGTTGAACTGACTTCGCAGTTTGACATTATGACAATATTGACAATGACAACTTTGACAACTTGCAAATTGTTTTCACACAATTTTTTACAAGTGAAAATATTACTCTTTTATCAAAAAAATAAATAACTGTATATATTAGAATTTCGTCGATTGCAATTAAATTCTATAAAAATTATACGTACTACGTAACTCTAGCATGAAGTGCTTTATTCAAAATTGTGTAAATAGTCATAGAATTAACAAAATATGTGAAAGCAGTGCATCGAATCCGCATAAAATCACTTATCATTCGTAAGTTTTAAGAATTATAAATTAAATATTTGCCATAGAATCAAAATAAATACAGTGTAATCTCTCTTAGACAATCCGGCACTACAAAAACCGGATGAAGCCGGATTATAGTGAAAAAGTCATCGGTAATAAATAATATAAAGCATTTCATAGAGTGAATATATGTATTTAATGTACTTGAATTACTTCCGCGCGATTTCAGCTGCTCTGCCTGGCGTCTATTGATCGTAGCGTGATGTTTTATAGTCTATAAATACACTATCCAAAACAAAAAAAAATTAAATCGGACCAGTACCTATTATTATCGCGTTCCAACAAACAAAACAGCTCTTAAGCTTTATATAAATAGAATAAGATATGTATAATAAAAAATACTCTAATCACCAAGCGAGATAATGACCATACATCATCCTATGAAGGCCAATAAAAATGCCTACGGCATTAAGTTTGCCAATTTCACTGTATATACAATAAAGTTTAATAAATAAATAAAAAAAATTACACACACAATCTACACATGAACAACATAACATCACGCCTTTTATCCCCAAAGGGGTAGGCAGAGGTGCACATTATGCCACTGTACAATGTAACACCCACTTTTCACTATTTATGTTATGAGTCCAATGTAATAGGGGGTGAGCCTATTGCCATTTACGGGGCACAATTCCAGACTCCGTGCTACTACTGAGATTTTTTGAAAAAACCCAGTAATACTTTGCCCGACCCGGGAATCGAACCCAAGACCCCTTGCCCGGCAGTCGCGCTTGCGACTACTCGGACAACGAGGCAGGCCTATTCACAATCTACCTACTTATTTATTTAAATATTTCAAACGAGCTTCTCCGCCCACTACTTCATATGCGCAATCCTGTTTTCTCCTGTTCCCACAAGATTTTCAGGATTTTTTTTCTATCATAAGAATCTGCTCCTGATATTAACAAACACAACAAAAAAAATATATCAGCCAAATCGGACCAGCCATTTTCAAGTTATGGTGTGATAATGGGAAATGGGTTTCGTTTTTATATATATATATAGATATTGTTGATAATAATTAAAAAATATATATTTTTTTTTAATGGTCTCATCTACACTTTTATTGCCTATACTGCCAGTTCTATGAAGCGGACTGGACAATCGTTGAATTTTTTTTTCATTTATTTCCAGTTTCCCAAAAGACCCGAAGCAGCGCGCAGCGTGGCTTGAATCTCTGTCATTACCGAGTTTCATGGTGACTCCGAAACATGTGATATGTTCGGAACACTTCAACGAGGATGACTTTTATATAACTAAACTTGGTACGAGAAGAATTAAATATGGTGTCGTACCTGAAACAAATGTAAGTATTCATAAGAATTATGTTGCCTTTTATCCTCCTTTGAGTGTCCAAAGAGTTGCGTACAGAGCCTCACTGAAGTCGAAGATCAAATGGCACTCTTGAATCCAATTCCAATCGATCGACATTGGTATTGTCAAATTTAGTACTCTCGAGTTGCAACACCAGCGTCTATTGCATCCGTATTGCGTGGATATTGAAGGAACTAAATGGTTTTGAGTTTAGCTTTTTATTCCGTACTATGAATGCTATTTTAACAGCTATAATAGGGGTTGTATAGTTTTGACATTGAATAATTAAAGAGTTTTTATTGGATTGAAATTGAGATTGGTTTCAAGAGTAAGCACCCTGGTGATCGGAAAGGTTCCTATTCCTAAAATATAAATAAAATTCTCAGTCATATAGTCATCCTTTGATAGAGTGAGAAAGTTTGTCCAGCTGGCCGCCGAATAAAAAAATGTTAATGAAGTACATTTTTGTTTTACAGTATGATCTACAGCAGCCTGCAAACAGAGTAAGAACAATTTAGTTTTCTTTATTTTTTTTTTGCTTTTAATCGGCTGACGTTTGACTACTATCTCGCCAGAGACCTTAGTACGAATTTGTTTTACAAACGAGACTTCGTTCGGCGCTCTGATTGGTTGGTTTATTGGCGCCGGCCAATCAGAGCGCCGAACGAAGTCTCGTTTCGATTACTTTTAACGTAAGACAAACTTGTACTAAGGCCTCTGATGGCACAGATTACTATACTATACTAATCAGCTGGTAAGCGATGATGCGGTCTACGATGGACCACGTCATCCCATAAGCAACCTTTATGACTCTGTGATATATGTAATTCTTTTTTCTAAAATAAAACCATCTGTGTAAAAAGTGCATTAATATAAGTGTTGTTTTTTATAGGTGTGCAAATTGTGTCTGAAAATAGATGCGAAAATATATGATCTCAAGGAAGACAGTTTAAATAAAATGTATCAATATGTAATCGGGATTGAGGTGAGATTTATTAAAATAACTAGCTTTTACTTCGCTCGCGTCAGAAAAGCATAAAAAGTAGCCTATGTGACACACACCAATACACACAGCGCCATCTATACCAATACTTTTGTTTTCCCTCGGGATTATCAATTTTTTCCGGGATAAAAAGTACTCTATTATTTAATCCGGACTTCTAACTTTACGTCTGCAAAAATTCAAAGCAGTCGGTTTAGTAGTTACGGCGTGAAAGCGGAACAAACAAACAAACTCACTTTCTGATTTATAATATTAGTAAGGATTTTTGTAAACTTGACAAACTTTATGTATGCTGTTATGGGCAGTCAATGTAGGCCAGAGCCGTACTATCCCTAAGGCAAACTAGACAAGTGCCTAGGGCGCCAGGTTATAAAGGGGCGCCGCGAGACGTGACGACGCGTGACCAACTTGCAAGTGTTGGTGGCGCCAAAATAATTAGAGGCGCCTTGAGGTGCTTGTCTAGAGCGCCCTCTGGTTTTAATTCGCCTCTGGTTGTCGATTTTCATTTGTATGCACACAAGTTATAGGACCGAAGTATAAATTAATTTACTTTTCCTCGTCCCCAGCCGCGGACAGACTCCAAGGATAGGTTTCCAATGAACATATGTTGGGAATGTAAAGCGCGGCTGCATTCAGCGGCCTCTTTCAAATATAAAGCGCTGACCAGCGATCAATTGCTACAGGAACATTTGAATTGCCATGAAGAGGTTCGTATATAATTAACGTTATTGTAGAGACAGATACGTGCAAAAATAATACGTCTTGTGTGAATTAAAAATAACTTTAATTATCTTTTAGCTAAACATAACTGAAATATCAAATCTTCATCGAGAACATAACTTAAAATCAAGTTTAATCGTTGAAACAATAGATACTTTTAACTGTGAAATTGAAACACACAGTTACACAGAATCAGATACACTAGTTAAAACAGAAACTGTAGGATTTACTTTTGAAGAAGATATAGATGACAATTCACAAATAGATGAAATAGTGATAAAAAATGAAAGTAAAATCAATGAAGATGAAACGAAAGCTGAAATAGAAATAATACCCAACAATAGTCAAGATAGCTTTCACAGTGAAGCTCCTAAAGTAAATTGGGATAACATTATACTAGTAAAGGCTCCTACGGTTGTTGATAATCAATTCAATATAACTGTTTTTGATAACAATTCCAAAATGGCGGATATAAGTGAAACAAATGATGATTCTTTTGATATAAATATGGACGATGGTAATGAGAAAATGGTGGCTAAAAAACCTGTGAAACGGAGGACGAGGAAAATAGAAACTTCAAAGAATCGATGGAGTGTGTAAGTTAATAATATAATAAGATTTTTTTTTTCAAACAACAAAATTCTTTCTTATACATATTTCTGAGTACTAAGCACAAATAACTATCGCAATCGTCACGTAATAGTATCGAGCGTTTGGCGCTCTGATTGGCCGGCTCCAGTAAACCAACTACTCAGAACTAAACTTAAACATGT